TCTTTTTTCTTTTCCAGTCTGGGGGGTCCGGTCCGGTCCGGCGAGATGGTAAAACTAATATTGCTACCCAGCCCAAAGCCTATAGTTTTTTCCCTGGTCGGACCTCTGCTTTGGGTTCTAGCAGCGTAGTTGGCCTGCGACCACGGAACGCGTCCGACAGGTACGAATGTTTTGAAGGTACTGAGCGGAGACCAGAACGGTTGTCAATGTGAAGACAACAACAATAACAACCCAACAACAAGTCTAGTACAACCATTTTTCCCATTTGGGCCTCTCCGAGAGCGGGGTAGGGTACTAACCCGCCCACCACTCCCAGAACGTGTACTACTACTGTAGATATAGCTCCTTTGCGAACCGCGGTCCCCCTCTGCTACGTACGATATAGCTCGACCTAGGACATGCCCCGCCGTGACACATCCTCGCACCCCCCCGCTCCCTCCTCTGCTCTTCTGCTTGCGGATCGCCGGCGGCACTTGTTTGTGTATGTTGTTGTTGTTGTTGTTGTTGTTGTTGTTGTTGTTGTTGTTATGGACGGTGTTGGTGTTGTTGTTGTTGTTGTTATGGACGGTGTTGGTGTTGTTGTTATGGACGGTGTTGGTGTTGTTATGGCTGCTGTTGTTGGTGTTGTTGTTGCGGCTTTGGAACACATTTTAGGCGCAAGAGCTGGCCGAGGCGGAAACGAAGCAGCACGTGGCGGAGGAAGCTGCGGACGTTACGTACTTCATGGTGAGCGCCGCCGGCGGAAGTGTTGGCAGTGTTGGGGGTGTGCTGCTGTACTTGGCGATAGCCACTGACGACGCCGTGCGTAGCTCTTCTGTCTCTCTTTCCTCCGAGCGTCAATTCTCTCTTCTTCGTGTGTAAGGGACTGATCTTACTGTGCGCAGTAGTCTCAGGCGACCATGCCCCCAGAACGATACCCTACAGTTTTCTTCGCCAAGTTCTAGGTCATCGTGCTACTACTGGTTCAGTGATGTCGGTCTCCTTTTTTACGGCCATGACACAACCGCCTCCCCCCGACTGCCGGCCGACTCCTTTATCCTTGTCCCCCCAAAGTATCCGCGATATCATTTTCGAGTGTTCCATGTTTACTGCTGTTTATTTTACGACTTGTTCTCATCTGACTTATTCTTCCTGCTCTCTGGAGTACTGTGTCCGAACAAACGAAAGCTGTCAGACGCGAACGATTAGGACGCCCTGATTCGACACCCTTCCACTCGACAACTAAATAGAGTATCTTGTCTACATGCGTCTTCGCCCCAACCTTGCAACGGAGGCCTCCCGCCAGAACGTGGGAGGAAAAACGCAACTTGGCGTGCACTTCGCCCCCTCCCTCTGGCCGGCTCCACGGGTGCAGTGACTTGTCGCCTCGTGTCCCTTCACGCGTGATTTTCTGCGGTCGTGTTGTTACTACAGGCGTGTTCCGCAGCTGCTGCTGCACGTAAACCCCTCAACGACGGTAAACTATTACTTACAGTCCACCCACCAATTGCAGGCATGGATGTATTATATCAAAAGTCCTCCAACACGACCCTGGAAAACCGGTGACTTCTTCACCTCCAAGGGTACCTGGGGGAACGCACCGTTAGCGTCCCTCTTAGCTAGCAGTACGCGACCACCTGCGGGTGGCGACATCTTCAACAGGGATGGCGCTATTCAACACCTCCAGTTAAAGATCGACGACATTACACGCTCGTTCGTCAGGGTCCTGACGCCGCTAGACCAGCGGCGGGCGGTTCGGGGTCGGGCGCGGGCACGGGGGGTCGCGAGGTGGCCGTCGTGGGGGACGGATCCACACCGTGTGGATCCGTGAGCATTTTGCTCATGCCCTACAACAATGACAGAGCAATTGGATTGCTCTTCAACAACAATGATCGCCGTGTTTTTGCCTGGTCCTGCAGCACGTCCCCTGCTCCGTCCCGGCTTTGTAGGGATGCGAGGTCAATGGTCTAACGACTACGGCATGCACGACCCCTCCCCCGGTGTTTGCCATCGGGGTTTGGGTTTTCGTCGCTTGGCAACGACGTTGTAAAACAAGCCCCCCACTCGGTGTTTGCCATCGGGATTGGGTTTTCGTCGATTGGCAACGACGTTGTAAAACAAGCCAATTCACTTCGTGAACTCGGCAACCAGGTTACAGTCTTTTTTTTTTACCTCTGGTTTTTTTTTGGCGGTAACCATAATGGTGGTCGAGTAGATCATGTTGTGCGGGGTCGAGAAACCTCACTCCGCGCAACGGGGGATGATCGCACCACGTTGTGTTAAAATGGTCAAGCTTCCTCGAGGCAGTTACACAGTGCTTACAACTGTCTCTGGAAGTGAAAGCACCAGAAAATAAATTAAGTCATACGTAGCTGTCATCCGTACGCAAGTAAGTAAGCACAAGATGCCGAACACCCTTAGCAGGATGCAGCTCACCCTTCATGCGACTCGCCAAATACCTCACGGCGCTTCGCGCTTGGTGATGTGAGAGCCTGGTCCGGTGAGAACCCGGCGTGCTCCGTCCCGGCTTTGTAGGGATGCGAGGTCAATGGTCAAACGACTACGGCATGCACGACTATGAGTACACCCCCCCCCCCCCCTTTTTTTATGTACCAGTATTATTTCCCGCAGTCTTTCTCCCCGTGGTGCACGTACTGTATACTCTTGTGGGCACTCCTCGTTTTTTTGTGACCCCGGCTGAACGGCAAACATACACAAGAGAATATTAACACAGCAGTACACCAAGAGATGTGTAGACTGGCATCTGCGTAATATATGAATGGGCCGAACGCACACACCACTTCTTGGTTTCAGTAATACGTTTTTTGTTGTTGTTCTCTTCCGAACATTTATATCCCTTTTCTCCCTTCGTCGCACGGACGAAACAAACGCCAACCGGTCGAAGATGGTGCGGTGCGCAGCGGCTGGCGTTAGCTGGGAGGACGTGGAGAAGGAGCTCGACAAGCGCTCTCTCAAGCTTAAGCGCCGCCCAGGTATTTGTTCTCTTCTTTTTTTTCGTTCAAGGTTTTTTTGCGTATCGCTGCTTGTTGATCCAGAATTGTTGGAGTTCCTACACGGCAAAAAAAAAAAAAAATCGCTGGTATGAAGTTATGAAATCAAAGAATTGTGCGCAGAACGAATTATGCTGTGTATTGGTGCTACGTATTGGTGCTCTTCAATTCGGTTGTGTTGTTTGATGTTCGGGTTTGTTGGGAAGGACATACACAGCAGTGGTTCCCCACTCGCGGCCCTTTCCTTCCGTCCCTCGGACACGCCAGTATCGTACTTTTCAGAACGCTCTACCCACTTAAGAACCTCTCATTTCGCTCGAGGTGAGCCTCCTTGCTTTATGTATTTATGGGGTACCCCTTTACAGCGACCATTACCTCTGAGTAAGTGGCAGGATTCTTTCCAGAGCACCTGTTCTTATGGCCAGACTGTGAAGCATATACTTACTGTAGTACGGAGTATAGTTTTGGTCTGAAGTTCTCAGCCCCCCGCGCTCGCTCGCCGGAAACCAGGAAACGCGAAAGCAGAGCGCATCGCGGAGGGGGACAAGATCCTTGGTGCGGGCCGCAAAACTCAAGTGGCGAGCCTAGTCTGACGTTGTCGGGGAACGTTGGTTGATTCTCCTTTCTTATTGGTTCGGGATACCTCTCTTATTGGTTCGGTTCGAGATGTCCTTCTTGTTGGTTCGGTTCCGGATGTCCTTCTTATTGGTTCGGGAATAACCAGGGGGTTGCTGCCCTTGGAATAGGAACAGGATGCATCGGGATCCGCTCTTCTGCGGGTGGGTGTCCATCCGCGTGGTTTGTGTGTCACCGCGGGCAGAGCTTGGTTCCTCCGCACGGAGGCGTACACACGCCTACCACGGCAGAGATACTTTTTAATTCGCCGTTTGACGGTGCCCAAGGACGGACAGATGTACCACCAAGCAAGGCCATCGTGCGATCAGCGAGGAGAAATGGCAGAGAGACGGTCGCCTTGAGGAGGGTGTTTGTCTGGGAGGAGAATACGCAGGAGGAATGATCACTTCTTCAGCGTAGGCCAAGCCGCTTTCTTGTGTCGAGGAATTCCTCCTCCCTTCCATGCTCAGAGGATCGCCGAAACACGTCTGTAGTACGCGGCGTGTGTGCGTGTCTTGAATGGGCATAAACCGCGCACGACCTGACGTGTGATTTCACACCGCCGCGTGATACTTGTAGCTTTTTCAACAGGTTGGAGTTTTGAGGATATCGGTGCTGGGGGGTGATGTTCGGCGGCAGGTGCTGCTGACTGTTGCGTATCTAGGGAAAATGCCTATCTTACGTGCGACCAAAGGATTATGGTAGATGCGACACTTGCTAGGGGATGCAGTACGGAGGATGTGCTTCAGTATCACAGGGGTGATATATATATTTTTTTTGGGGGGGGGGGGCGTGGTGACAGGCGGCAGACACAACCTCAAGGTATGGAATGCCTCGTTTTGGGTATAATGTCGCACACCATCACCCGGTGTGTGTGGTTTGCTGTAGGAAGTGTGCTGTCTAGTCTGGGCATCGCATCGTTTGTCGCGCGTACGGTGACCGGCCGCCGACCCATAAAAGTAATTGAGTTTAGTCAGAGTAATTGGGTTTAGTCACGCGGGCGTATATATATCAATTGGGTAAGCAGCCTGTGAGTTTACCGTATATGACACAAGATAACACACCCCCTTGACCGTTTTTCAAAGCTCGATTTCTCAACAGCAGGAAGACTCACAGCGCCGAAAACGGCGGCGTTGGAACCGTCTCGTTGAGATCTTTTCGAAAATGTATCATTTCGTTTATGTATCCTCTTCGTCATCGAGTAATCAAGCTTTAAAAATCGGGCCAGGGGGTGTGTTATCTTGTGTCATATACGGTATTTCGGGCGTTAGCCTAGGTGCGGAGGAGTGGTGAGGGTTCCGCAAGCCGTTCTTCCTGCTCCGGAACCACCCCTCCCTGAATGCACACTCACACGCATGTCATGAGAGTTTTTTTTTTTCGGGGGATGGTGACCGACCGTGGGAATGCTCTCCTCCTCTTCCTGACGAATGGTGTACGTAGGCTATGAACCAGCGGGCATCCATCGTATGCAGAACTCGGAATACGTTCGGTCGTGCTTTTTCGCCGGCACACGTGTACTGTTAGCGCCCGACCTCAAGAACCTCTGGTTTTGGCGGAGGCTGGGTGTCTTCCGTACTGGGTTGGTTGTGCAACGAATGGCCGCTATGTAGCTCACAAACGGTGCTCAAGTTCTCACAATTTTGATTTTTTTCGAGGATCAATTTCTTGACTGCTGAAGCATTTTATGTAGTGCGGTCACGAACCGCAAGTTTAAGTAGTGTTGTGTGTGTGCTCCTTTAATTATGAATGAGGCGGCATCGTTTTGTCTCCAGGGATGATACGGACGGGTGCTGCTAGCGACTGAGACAGACAGGGCGGAGATAACCGTGAAGTGTTTTTTGTGAGGAGCTTGCGTTTCTTTGTTCCATTTTTTTCTTCTTCTGGTTGCGAGGTATGGCTTGAAGAAGTCAGGAGGGAAGAAAGTGCTCAGAGTATGTTCGTGAAGAGAGAGAAATTTCGAGATAACCACAGCAGCAGCTGGCGGGGAGTGAAGAGATACTCACCAAGCTCGCCGGCGGCGAAACTGACATCACTACTACTACTACTCACGTCTCGTTCTCATCCGGTCCATGTTGGTTCGGAGTGGCTCCATACGTCGGCGGCGTCGCTCTGACAACACAAGAAAGGTCAGAAGGCAAGCAAGATTCTTCTTGTGTTGCCACGATTGATTATGTTTTGCGAGGGGAAGAACATGGCGTTGGTCAAAGAGCTTGCCATAATTTTGAAGCCCTCTTTAGGAGGATTTAGCTCCTGTTCCCACTCGTCCCACACCACTAGTAGTAGTCTAAAAAATGAGGCAACGAAATGTGGTACCAAAAGGTACGAAGGGCACGTTGTTAGCGTAGCCACGAGAATCGACCGCGTCAAGCTCCATCAGATGAATGAAGGTGCTGGATAGACACGTCGAAACGGTTTGTAATAATAATGTGAAGACAACAACAACAACCACGAAGCAACTTTCATCTATTTATGAAGAAGACAGATAATCTACATACATACATACATACGAAGCAACGCACCCTTCACGTCTATCTATCATGAGGAGACAACAAGACGGTTCTGACTCGGCCGGGGCGTACCCCCGCCCTGTTATTACCCGCCACGGCAAGGCCGGGGCTACCTCCGGCCTCTGTTACTGCAAATAAATCCGTAGCGGGTACCCTACTACTGCTATGGATGGCACGGCGGTGCAGCACTTGTCAACAACGCCGAAATTGAAGGCTCCACCTAGCTAGCTAGTCGAGCTCGTGCTCTTGTTGGTTATGTGATTCGTAGGAACGCCACCCATTGGTGGTATTCTTGCAACATATGCATGCTCTGTAGTTGCTTGCAACATAATCCTTAATAAATGGGGAGGAGGCGTTCAATGTGCCTCCCACCAATCAAAGACATGCACATACATCCATGAATGCACACGGACCATGTTCCGCTGAGAAATTTCATGCGCTTGCTCATCGATCCACAACAACACTACTACTTCGCTCCCTGAAATCGCTACTGTGAACTATCTGGCCATCTGGCCAAATAAGGTACTACAACCGATAAGGACAGACCTGGCATGCCCACAACATGTAGTTGCGGTTGGGGGGGGCGCCCGACGTGCGTGCGTTCGTGCAGGGAACAAACTGCGTTTTTCGACCGGCGAACTTTTTCCGAGACGGGATGTTGGCGCGAGAGACCGCTGTCCGTCTGCGTGTGTCTCACCAGCCGGCGAGTCAATCAATCAATGTGGTCGTATGCACAGACAGTAGTAGTAGATGCGGCGCGTAGAGATACGGAAGAACGAGGTATGTATGTACTCCGCCCACCCAGGTGGCAAACGTCATGCATGCCCAGCTTCTCCATATACATGCATGACGAGGAGAGCGGCGTGCGTGTGTGGTTGGGAAGTGGTCGCTCGACAGCAAGCAGTCCGCCACCAAGTCGAACAACATAGAGTACTTGTACCTGTTTCGAAGCGCTCGTCTCGCTCGGTGTTAAGCGTCTATATTATTAGCTCAAACGGGCAAAAGACGACTGACTGCCAAACAAACAGTCAGAATTGAGTCGCTACCAATCAATCTCCAACCGCATTCGTTCGTTCATTCATTCGCCACCATATGCATGTAGGACAGGCGGAACCCATGCCGACGCCCTCCTGACACAGAACAGTTTCAACAACAACAAGACAGACAGACAGACAGGACCACCACCGCCATCACTCGCCACCTTTCCGACCCGATCCAAATATATAATGATTAAAATTGCCTACAGAGAATCCCCCCCCCCCCCCGACCCC